GGGGGGGGGGGGGGGGGTGCTTCATGACTCCTATCCCTGACATTTGCAGAGGAGTTAGGAAACCAGAATCGCTTCGGCTTCCTCTTGATTCTGTTCGCCCAACAGTCACTTTCTGTGTAATCATATAAAGCTGTCATACCCAGAGGTCCTGGCCTGCCATTTTCCTTGCAGACCCAGGCTTTTCCTTCTCGCATATTCACCATCAAATGTTTGTTTTCTTCTCCTCTAGTAGTATCGGCCTTTTTTCACATAATTTTTAAATCGTGTAATATCGATTTCTGGTTTTTTTTTTTTTTGCAAGGCACTCGATAATGTCTATTCACCTGTTGTTGTGTTACGTACTCGGGAGGATAGTGTCAGATAAAACAAAAATACAATGTCTGAATAATGAATAAAGTGCGAGTAATGTTGGATGGGCTGCTGTGTTTGTGAGTCGCAAGCTGCCTCTCTGTCTGTGTTGGGTGTTTGGATGAGCGCTGTCATGGCGAGATGAGTAGGGTCTATATCAGGATGCCGAGTCGGGCTGTGAATCGGAGTCAGTGAGCAGGTTGTTTACTGCGGTGATGGTGGGTGGCGTCCTGCGCCTGAAAGATCAGACCTCAGCGGGCTCTGCTGTACGTCGAGGCCCGTTCGGCTGTTGGTTTATCGAGGCTTTGGGTTCGCCTGACGGCGCTTGCTGCTCTTTAGCTGGACTCGTTTCAGCTCCCGTCCTGAGCTGTCAGTCAGTGCAGCCCTCTAGGATCTCGGCCAAGTGGTTATGCTGGACATTTCATCCCTTATGTCAGGGGTGTCAAACCCCAGTCCTGGAGGACCGGAGCCCAGTCTAGCTCGGTTTCATCAGAAATGATTCAGCTCAAGAGCTGTGTGGTAATTAGCACATGGAGTTGAATCGGGTGTATTAGATGAGGGAAAACGCCAAAATGTGCAGGGATCCGGCCTTCCTGGACTGGAGTTTGACACCCCTGCTCTATGTCTATGTTTCTCAACCCAAATCCTCTGGGCCCTCCAGACAGTCCACAGTTTTGCTCGCTCCCAGTTCCCAGCCAATCAAGAACATGGAATATCTGGTGTATGTATGTTGGGAATTGTGAGAGAATAAAAAAAGTGGACTGTCTGGGGATTCCCATGGATTGGGTTGAGTAAAACTGCACTGCGTCAGCAATGACTTTGTGTGTTAATTATGTTCTGTTGTTTAACAGGTGTCTGGGATTGTGGGACGGGCCGACGTCCTGGCCTGCATGCTGTTCCTCCTGACGTTTCTCTCCTATATTAGGTAAGCGTCGTCTAGCTAGCTAGTCCCACCCCCAATCATCCGTCTCCGTGTTTAAGTCACTGTGGAATGAGGTGGGATGGGTCACGCTGGGGTGGATCCTGAATTATCTGCCATCTTCCCTTCCTTCATCTCCCTGAAATGTCTGCAGGCAGGCAATGCGCAAGTCACATTTTTACTTTGATACTTTTGTCACCGTTATCAAACAGTGATCGTTCATTATTGCTTATGGAAGTGTCATAATACAGCAGTGAAGCGAATGTGAAAAACTTTGCAAAGATTAATATGATGGTGTTTTTTTGTGCTTAAGTAGGAGATAATTTAACTCTTTCCTTCCACTACCTGGATATGCCTCAGTGTATGTCCCATACTACCTTTACCTGTGCAATACCCTTATCTTTCCAAACATTAATCTTACTCTTGTCATCTCTACATGCTCCATGCAGTAATGTATGTTAGCCTGACTGTTCCCTTGTCAAGGTCTTACTGTATGCTAAGCTAGTTCTTCTTTGCTCTATGCAGTAACGTATGTTAGCCTGACTGTTCCCTTGTCAAGGTCTTACTGAATGCTAAGCTAGTTCTTCTTTGCTCTATGCAGTAACGTATGTTAGCCTGACTGTTCCCTTGTCCAGGTCTTACTGAATGCTAAGCTAGCTCTTCTCTTCTCTGTGCAGGAGCGTGACTGGGAGCTGTCCGGGGTCCGGCTTCCCTCCCACCGTGTCACCCTGCTTGCTGATCCTGAGCCTGCTGCTGGGCACCTGTGCTATGCTGGTGAAGGAGACAGGGGTCACCGTCTTCGGCGTGTGCCTGCTGTATGACGGCCTGGTGCTGTGCCGCAAGCCCCTTGTCGCGTAAGTGTCTGTGGATGACCTTTTGGCTGCCTGGATGGCCCCACCTAACCTTTTAATGTACCTGTGAAATGCAGCTATGGTACATATATATAGATAGATACAGTACCAGTCAAAAGCCTGGATGTATCTGCCTTTATTGTATTTGTCTCTATTTCAGCTATGTTATTCACTTCATAGTGAATAGCCTTGAGGTGATGAAGTGTTACATATAAATATTGCAATGATAAGTGTTCAACATCTCAAAATTTTCTCAAATTTTACACTCTGCAAAACAGCCCCCCTTTGCTTCAATGACAGCATTGCAGACTCTTGGCATTCTTTCAGGCAGCTTCCATATGTAGCCACCTGGAATGCTTCTCCAACAGTCCTGAAGGAGTTTCCACAAGTTCTGGACACATGTTGCCCACCTTGCTCTTACTGTTCGATCAAACTCATCTCAAGCCACCTCTATGCGGTTTAGGTTGGGGGATTCAGATTGGGGTCTGGTCATATATCGCAGCACTCCGTCTCTTTTCATTCCCCAGAATACTTACTTAATACAGTCATGTCATGCTGAGGGTTATTACCTTTTTGAACAACAAATGATTTTCAGGAGGTGTTTCCAGATTTTTGACTGGTATGACACACAGATAGATAGATGGATGGATGGATGGATGGATGGATGGACAATAAAATAATGATAAACAGTTGGTAAATCTCCTCTTCTCAGATAGGCAGATTTCTTTGCTGACTTGTGGTTTTGAATGTTCCACCATGCGGCTCTGTTTTTACTGTGGGCCGCGTCCGAATACCTGTGTCCCAACGTGACATACGGCTGCTTCTGTTACCTTATTCCCCTGCTTCAGTGGAGCAGCTGAGGAGATTATTTGTGTACGTTTCAGCTGAAGTGTACCGAGCGTATACCCGGAGGGCCTAAAACCTCTGACCATCTGGTGACTTTCTGAGCTGTACTGTGACCTTTCGGAAAACCTTTAAAAATGTCACGCCGGTGCACCACAGAATATTCACTGCACGGAAGAAGTCGCTGGGTTTAAACGGTTTAGTGAGCAGAGTCGCGTTTGTGGAGATGTAGGACGGCCTATATGTTAGGGTAAGACTTTCCAGAGCAGACCCTGCAGTGACCGTGCCCATCAAAAGCTCGCAGCTGGCCTCCTACAGTTATGACTTCCTGTGCCGTGGGCAGTGACTCAAATCCTCGGAGCTTTCAAAACATACAAGGTGATCTTTTATTTACCAGGACCACCAACGGGACCCTTCTTGTTGACTTTGGCAACTGGATATGGGATTGTTTTTATATTGAACCATGGCTGGAATACTGAAATGAACATTCGTTATGTAAGTTTAAGTTATTAAAATTCTGTTTTCTTAACTTTAGGCATTTATTTTCTTGCAGAAAGAGAAATACAGTTTTTCTCAGCTGCTTTGGTGCATTGGGAGTTTGGCATGTGGTTCAGTGGGCTAAGCCTCTGTGCCTGTAGGCAGAAAGTCGCCGGTTTGAGCCTGGCCTTGGCGGAGTAGCCACGTCTGTGGGCCCTCAAGCATAGCCCTTAACCCTTAGCTCCATGGGTGCCATAGCAGGCGGTTGCCCTTCACTGCCAAACAAAGAGTGTTTCCATAGTCATGCATGTGATTATGTACAATTGTCTGCTGATTCCTACATTATCAATTGCTTATGTCATGTTGGTCAAAATGCATTATACTGGTACTCTGTTGCATAGTCTTACCTCCTAAAACATCTAGGCCGGGGTTCTTCAAATCTGGTCCTCGATTTCAAATCCAGGCCTTGTTTTCAGTTCTCCCAGGTAGTTAGTTTAATAATTACTGATTCTGATTGGTCAGAGGCTTCACACCTGACTGACAGGTAAAGGAAGGCTGGAAAACCAGCAGTGCTCGGACCTCGAGGACCGTGATTTCAATAACCCTGATCTAGGCATTAGTTCATTGCGTAAATTATTGCACGCGAAACGGTGGAACCAGTTGTCATAATCGGTCAAGCATATTCTCTATACATCTCTGTCATAGTTCTTTTGTAAATGTGTCTTGAATTGATGAGTTGTTGATTTTCACCAATGGAGGACAATATTAGTGTTAGTTCAACCAATGATCAACCAGTTCGCTAAAGTAGCTCAGAGGTGCATCTCGTGAATCTTCAGTTAGCAAGCATGTATTGGCAGAGCACAACACAGTGTCACAATTTGACAATGGAAGAACAAAAAGGAAATCAAGGGTCAACAGTTGGGAAGAAGAGGATCAAGGCTGCATGGTGGAGGGGTAGGGAGGCAAAGCAGATTGTATACTTACTGCAGTACTTTATATTACTGTGTTCCACTTTTACATTGTACAGTAAATATACTTTATATTTGCATATTGTACATATACTGTACGCACAAGCACGCACACATATTTATACAGTAAGCAGTGTTGACAAGATTACTTTGGAAATGTAATTCGTTACAAGTTATTCTATTTAAAATGTAATAGTAGTGTAACTATTTTAATTACTATATGAAAGTAATATAACTAATTACATTTGATTACTTTTTGATTACTTTTCTAAATTATGGAATGAATATTCTCAACCATTAACCATTTTGAAACTTTGTAACCTGGCAGTGTTTACCTTACAGCAGTACTAAACACTGATTACTGTCAAAGTCCTTACAATACATGAATTAACATGATTATAATTGATCAATTTAATAAAGATACCAAATATACCATACATACCATATAGGCCTAATAATGATGATTTTAAACAACGGGTAAGAATAGATCCTTCATACTCAGTGAAAACCCAGATTCCCTCAGTGTAACAAGTTAATGTTACATAAAATATACCTAAAATGTCAAAAAATGGTTAAAAATCAGCCTTCAGTTATTAAATTCTAATGTGTGTTCATAATATTAACTTTTTGGGAGTCAAAACAAGATAAACTACAAGATAAACTACGAGTGATTTGACCACTCCGTGACGCTTCAGGATTACATTATGATACAAGCATCTTATATACTTGTGAAAATAAATGGTTCCATTTTACATCTGACCTGAACAGTTCTTGCATCAGACAGGATATGAAATTTCAACTGATTGTGTAATCACGTACTCTGTTTAAGTCAATTTTTCAATCACAAATCATTTTTCAGCACTGTAAAATAAAATGGGTTAGCAGAGTGGTAAGGCTGCATCGCCCAGGGGTTATAGCTAGTTAGTGAATTTGCAAAACTCAATACGACATAGCATGTCGGGGGTGCTAATATCAGACCTAACATAATTACCAATAACCTTAGCATACTGAAGGACGGCACATTTTCTGTCAACGGGATCAGAAGTGTTTACGTATTCTGTCAGTGTTTACATTTTGTTTTGTTGTCCTATGCGCCGTATCTTATGATTGAGTTGGTGTTGTCATCGTACAGTCTGCATACCTGTCATAGCAAAGATTATCAGATCCGTATCGCACAGTGTGATCGGTAATGATTTTATAAGATTGCTGAAATCACACAGTGTGTACCAGGCATTACACTTTAGAAGCATGGTGTGGCACGCTGAAGGTAGGCATGTCTTCCCTGCCTTGTTTAATATGACTGTTTGCAGTTACAGTAAGCTGCACGTACCTCTACAGTAGATGTTTCCTTAGGTTGTGATGGACTGTTTAGATTTCGGCAACATCTTTACAGCCGGTAAACATGCACTGCATTGCACAGTTAAATTTGTGCCTTTTTCCATAATTGTATCGGAAATGTTTTTTATTTTTCCAGCAATGGAATGCATTCCTTTCCTTCTCTGCCATTGCCTGCAACAGAAACTCAGACCGCTCAGGCAAGTTAATTAGCAGAATTGGCTGCAAATGTAGACGCGACAGGATAACCAATCAGAAGCATCGAATAGTTTCAAACTTTCGGCTGTGGAGGGAAATAGCAAAGGAGGATATTTGCATAAGAAAAACATGAAAAGCAATAAAAATATTGTTAAAGATATTAGCAAGGTTTTGCATACAATCTTATGATGTAACTAAAATTGTAATCATGAATATTTCCATAAGTAACTGTAATTTAATTACACTTTTTTCTCTAATAACTGTAGTGTAATGGATTACAATTACATTTTTTTGTAATTAAATTACATAACGCCGTTACATGTAACTCGTTACTCCCCAACACTGACAGTAATTATATATGTACATACTGTATATATGTATATATTGTGTGTTGCAATATATGTACAGTATGTGTAACTTTGTACTGTTATGTCATACAGAAAAAGTACAGCTTTGTGAATTTTCTGTCTTTGTCATTAAAACCTGTTTTACATCAGAAGATACTTGTGTTGACAACATGACTAAGCACAGGGGCGTCACTAGGTTTTAAGGACAGGGGGGGCTTAGCCCCCAAGAAATGCACACGATATGAACAAACGTAGCGCATGAGCACAAAATTTCACAAACAGAAAACAAAGACTGAGAAATTGCTTTTCAACTTTTTTGGACAGATTAAACATCTTAGGCCACCAATTGATTTGTTGTTTTATTTCAGTCTGTTTTTTAATACAGTACAACAAGAAAACACAGGAAATGTGTTTGCTGCATTAACAACAAGAAAAAAACTGAAAATAAAGTACATAATTTTTATGGCTGCAATCACCAGTTACTTGGTGGGTGGAAGCATCAAAGAATGCCGTCTGTTTTTAAGAGTGGCAAATCGGTCAATCGCTCTGTTGTGACTCAGATGCTGAAGCGTGTCTCACAGAGTTATTTAAACGGTTCGGCGAAATTTCTGTTCGGCGGGACCACCGACCCCAGGGGGTTAATTACATGGGACTCTCTGCTGTTAGCTGGAGCTACAGTAACTAATTGTTATTACCAGCAGTGATGAAGACTTATTTTCTTGAAAAACTTGCGTATAGGCATGTTGTCTTGCTGTGTGCAGCATGTACGCTAGTGCAAGGTTTCTCAACCCAGTCCTCGGGGACCACCAGACGGTCCACGTTTTTGCTCTCTCCC